TCTGGATTTACAACTTGTTTATTTTGTTGTCCGCCATATTGGATCCGCTATTTTGAATTTTGAAAAACGAATGTCATATTCGTAATCAGCGACCTCGAAAACCCCCGAGTAACCGGTTTCAGGAACATTTAAGAAGTTTTTAATCACCTTTTTTGAGTTGCGCATATATGCGTCATGAACACTTTTGGCCAGTTTAGTTTTGCGCATATATATGCGTCAGCGACAGTCAACGGGTTAATATTGTACTGGAACAAAATAAGTGAAACCGGCCACTTGAAAAATTTTTGTCTCCAATTTTCAAGTTATCTATGATTTTTGGTAGATATATGAGTACACTTTCCCCCCTACAATATTTTTCAGAAAAAAATTATTTTTATTTTTGAAGTAATCAGGTGTTGAAGTTTTGGGTCATTTTATTATTACTTTGAAACAAATAAAGATAATGAAGTGAATTTTTTTTTTAATTAAAGCTTAAAGTCTATACTTCAAGGATTAAATAAAGCGATTGCTAAAAAATAAAAATTTATAATTGTTATTAACAATTCTTTTAAACAATTGCAAATTGAAGAATGTTCTCAATATTTTTGAAAGATTAAATTACGATGTATTGATGCGCAAAACTCCAAGGAATAATTTAAAAAAAAGAAAAATTAGTAACATCCAATATTATAGAAATTGTGTAGATTTTTCTGCCAAAATGCAGACGAAAATCGACTCGAGTTTCTGGAAAAAGATAAAATTGCAAACGAATAAATAAGATCGTCTTTTATTTTGTTAGAAACTTCACGTTTCTCGCAAATTCACTTAATTATCTTTATCAACACCTAATTATTTCAAAAATAAAATTTTTTTTTAAATATTGTAGGGGGAAAAAGTGTACTCATATATCTACCAAAAATCATAGATAACTTGAAAATTGGAGACAAAAATTTTTTAAGTGGCCGGTTTCACTTATTTTGGCCCTACTTAATTAAAAAATACACTATATCTGTCTTCTGTAATATTCATCGTATAAAGCAGCAATTTATGGTAATTTTTACCTGAAAAAAGATAAATTAAGTAAATAACGTTTCTTGTCTGGCGCATTATTAACAATTTTGTCTTGTTTTGTCACCCGTACGAGATGTCAGTGTTCTGTCTTAACTTATTGTTTTAATTTTCGGTCGTTTTTATTTGAGACGCGTTACAAATGTAACAAATTGTTTATTTAAATAATTAATATTTAAAAAAAAATTACCAGTGACCTGACGATGGTGTCAAACCAAGACGCCGAAACGTTACACATCTAATGAAATAGTGTTTCATTTATTACTCTTCCAACAATTATTAATAAGCATCTCTTTTGCATGCCATGATTTTGTACTTTTTTCAAAAATAAAAATTTCCCTCTGTATTATATCAGCTTTAAATACTTAATGAAATATCTAAATTTTGCATAATAACCCCTTGTGAGTCCATGGCCCATATATGTCCAAAAAAAGTCGCGCCACCTTTGTGTCAGTGGCCATATATATATACACGGAGAGAAATCTGTTAGGATTAATTCTCGAAACTTTTCATATACTTTTTCCATAGATTTTTTGATGCTAAAATCCTAACAGAGAGCCTATTTATTACTCGAGTCCGCCTGAATATTAGGCGGAGTCGACTGATATTCAGGCGGACCTCTTATACTTTTCGCTAGTAAGTGCTTATGCTATATTCATAACCTCTACTCTATGCATTATTCGCAACAGATTTCTCTCCGTGTGGCCATTTAAAAAAAATAAACATAATTTGATTTGAGTGTCGAAGGGTATACTAAGGTTTTTGGGGTCGCTGAATTCGAATTTAAAGTCAGATTTAAAAAATTCAAAATGGTGGACACAAAATGTCGACTACAAAAATTTTAAAAATTACCGGATTCGATCGAAACTCGTTACTCGGGGGTTTTCAGGGTAGCTGAAATTTAATTGTGTGACGTTAAGATATTTGAATGTTATGTGCTATATTAGTTAGGTATTCCAAAATTTGGTTTTCTTCTTTATATCTGTTGTATTCTTCCGTTATTGTGCGTAATCGTCTTTGGAGTGCGATCCAGGTTTTGCGTGGTGCCGCTCTAACGTTGCGTCCAAGACTCAGCTCTGTGAGGCTCGTTTCAGTGTCTTGCTGTTCTTTTTGTATTTGATTCAAAAAAGCATACAAATCTGGAAGGTTTTTATTCACCATTATCCGAAAGCGGTTGTGCCACCCTTCGCTCACATTATCCTGATTAGGTGGATGTTCATGAGGAGATTTTTTTGGGCCTTTTATAACTACTAACTCAGAAGCTGTTTGCATTGTAATCGCCCGAGCTTTGCATTCTTTTCTTCTAACCAACTGACAGTCCCAATAAAATTTATTATTTTTCGACGGTTTCGATCTTACGTAAATGTATCCTGCGATTATTAACTTTTTCCCGACAATTTCTCCCACTTCCACTGTTTCTTCCATTTTCACAGACAATTTAGAATTTTCAATTTATGACGGGTTCCACGTCAAGTGACCCAGGTCAAAAATTTACATGGAATATTTGAAAAATTTGTAGTTTCTGTAAAACAAAACGAAAATACGTTTTCTATTTTGGGTTTTGCTGCTGTTTTTCAACACTTTCTAATAGTGTGAACAAATGTAGAGAAAAAAAATTGTTTGACCTTGAAAAATTAAATTAAAAAATAAAATTTCATTTTTTTATCAAATGGGCAGTTTTTATTTTTTTTAAAAAAATGTTATTATAAAGGTGAGGTTTTTTCCTAAAAAAAATGTATAGGTCAAAACGTGGGACAAGAACTTTTAACTGGTCAAATTAAGCACTTACTTCTGCCGTGCACCGTCCCACAGTGGAATTTTTTTTACAATTTACTATTAAAAAATGTCTATAGCTTACAATTTTTAACCGATTTGAGTGTTCTTTGTCTTAAATTAAAGGGGAATAAATTCTTAAGACATCCTTCGGGGCCGATTTTGGAGATTTTAATTATTTATAATTTTTTTTAAATCAAAGTTAACAAATTAATACACTTTTTTAAAAAAGGAGGTTTATTTTCTTATTCCGTTGATGCACATGATCTAAATAAATTTAAATTCATCCAATATGACCACCAGATAATTAATAAAGCATAAAATAATTTATTTCAATTGTTATAAACAATATATAGCCCAACAACGCGCAGGGGCGGTGGATTGCAGAAGTAAATGTTTATTTTGACCAGTTAAAAGTTCTTGTCCCACGTTTTGACCTATACATTTTTTTTAGGAAAAAACCTCACCTTTATGATAAAAATTTTTTTTTAAAAATAAAAACTGTCCATTTGAAGAAAAAATGAAATTTTATTTTTTAATTTAATTTTTCAAGGTCAAACATTTTTTTCTCTACATTTGTTTACACCATTAGAAAGTGTTGAAAAGCAGCAGAAAAACCCAAAATAGAAAACGTATTTTCGTTTTGTTTTAAAGAAACTACAAATTTTTCAAATATTCCATGTTAGACCAAAAATTTAAACTTTGACCCCCTCCAGTTTTTATATTTGTTTAAATAAATTAATAATATTTGGTATTTTTAATTGTATCTAATAGAACTATTGTTTCTGCAAAATTTTTACCCGATCCCAAACATTTAAAATTTTGACCTGGGTCACTTAACGTGGAACCCGTCTTATATGAGTGATGATTCGAACACAAAAAATTTTGACAATTTACTCACGAATAAACAAATGAGCAACACTCTTTTGTTTCATATATTTGGCATATACTTCGTGTACGTGCTAATTGTTAATATTTTTTTAAATTGAATTAAACTTTTTGAAATTTTTCGGGCAAATGTATTCGGGCAAATGGATTCGGGCGATGACGTTCGGGCAAAAAAATTCGGGTAAATGTCAATTCGGGTAAATATATATTCGGGTGTACGGATTCGGGCGTGTGGTTTCGGGCGTTTGGGCGTGTACCACGAAAAACAATTGAAACTTAATAGAATTTGTTAAAAACTTGGTACTCATGAGTTTTCAGGGTCGTTCATCACAAATCCGATATTAGTTTTAAAAAATTCACAATGGAGTATTCAATTTGAAAAACAAAAGAATTGCTAGGATTTGCTAGAAAATTGTTAGTCGAGATTTTTTAGGGTCGTTGATCACAAATCTGATATCAGTTTTCAAAGATTCAAAATGGTATATCCAAAATAGACGAAAAAGTTTAAACTTTTCCGCAGCAGAAAATTAATATTAAATTTCCATAAAAGTTTTTAATTAAGAAGTAGCTGATTGTCAATATTATTCAATTTCTCCATTACAATATTTTTTGCCTGATTCAGTATGTAGTATTAATATTATGTTGTATTATGATGAGGCTGAACTCCGACACGTTTTTAAAAACGAAAAATCAAAAAAGAAATTTTTTTCTAGTTAAATTCATCTCTAATTTTTATGTAGTTAGATTTTTAAGAAACTAATTGTTACTTAAAATACAATTACTAAAAAGGAACATGAATTTCAAGCCAAATTAAAATATATGGTCGCAATATTTTTTCTTTTTTGTTTTTAAAAACTTTGCGTACTTCAGCCTCATGTATTATGGAACTCCGATATTAACTGAAAGCTCAGCTCTTTAAAAACTAATATCAGTTTTATGATAACTGACCATAAAAAATCTCTAGTAACAAGTCCCCAGCAAATCCAGTCGAGATTTAATTTTTTCTTCCACCATTTTGGATTCGCCAACTTGGATTTTAAAAAACTGACATCATTTAACGTAGAATATTATAAGCTTTCAAAAATATATTTGTTAATTTTCTGACATTTATTTTTACAAAAAAATCATGATTTAAAGTTTGGTATGTTTTGGGCCATGAGCGTGCAGCCATTCTGATAATTAATTTCTCTAATTAATTCTCAAGAAGAAAAATCCCTCTCAGTTATATTCCTTGGCTATATTAAAAATGCTTTTTTACCATTTAATTAATTTTCGATTATTTCTTTTTTTAGCTGACAGTGGAGTGCAAGCGGCATCACATCAGAGGCAATTATCCCTAAAATACAGTGAAGTACAACAACGACTAATCGATAATCAGAGTCTATTAAATAATTTAGAAAAAACAAATGAAGAATCACTGAAAAATCTTATAGGAGAATTGAAGTGTCGTGTTGAGCACGACAAGGAGGCTTTAAGACAATGGACAGCTTTAAGAAAATCGAACGTTGATACTGAGGCAAATAAAAACCCCACTTTGGCCGTTAAATTATTGCAGTTTTCCCGGGGATGTGCTCTAGCTCTACAACTGATGAATGAAGACAGCACTCAGGTAACTTTAAGATTCAAGACTATCCCGAGTGGAAAGCTCTTAAGCCTTAAGGGTAGCAACGCGATGTTATATTACGCAAGCTTACCAGCAACGGTTTTTGCTCGTTAACTTAACTCGATTAGTTTTCACGCCACTTTCTCCTTTTATACTACATAAACATTCTTTCCAACCATTTTCACAATTTTATTTCATTTACACAGGAGAAACAGTCTCTGATTTTCAATTGTTTGCTGTTTTCGGTCTACAACATTCTTTTTACATTCTCATCATAATGAGAATGTATTCTAATATGACGAAATTATGAACGTAATATTTTTCCACTATTATATAATATTTTCCTAAAATTACTGACTGCAATAAAAAATTGTACGGGAGAGTGCACGGAAAAAAATTAATCTCTAAACTTGAAATAATATTAATTTGAAGTCCAATGAAATATAAGTGTATCTAAATTAAACATTATAGTCACAATTACTGTGATAAGTTGTGTTTGATTCTGTCAAACTTTATACCAGAAAACGCCATAAATTCACATCTCTGATTTAGAGATTTGTTAATTTCACAACTTTTTTTATATGAATTAGGTACATTGTGTTTTAGGTTAATCAGTGACAAAAAAGATTTAAACCATTTTAATTGATTAAGTATTAATTTTATTTTCAAATATCCAAATAAAAGCGAAGGTCTGTGAAGGAAGGTCTGTAAAATTTGTAGGTTACAATTATCGCCCGACAAAATACGACACTGACTGATTTAAATGACGTGAAATAGGTAAATAAACATTTTTCAACCACTTTTTCTCTAAACACAGACACTTTTTACAAAATAGGCCAACATACAACGAGTAGGAATCTTCTTAATTACCTAAATTCAAAAGATGGTTTAAATTCATGCAGAAACGCGGTTGTAAAATGTAAAATTGGAAATGATTGGAAAGTAATGTAATGACAGACAACAAGAAGCGGATTACTGCCAGTCGCCAGAAGAGGGCAGAAGCATGCAGAGAGCACAATGGTCCAGCTGTTATATTCTTAGCATTCCATCACTTTCCAATTTTACATTTTACAACCGCGTTTCTGCATGAATTTAAACCATCTTTTGAATTTAGGTAATTAAGAAGATTCCTACTCGTTGTATGTTGGCCTATTTTGTAAAAAGTGTCTGTGTTTAGAGAAAAAGTGGTTGAAAAATGTTTATTTACCTATTTCACGTCATTTAAATCAGTCAGTGTCGTATTTTGTCGGGCGATAATTGTAACCTACACGGAGAAAAAAAGTTCCCAGATATTTCAGGAATTATTTCCTAAGTCTTGGATACGTGGTAACAGCTCTGAACTAGCGACGAACATTCAATGGTAATCAATGAATGTTTGAAAGAAATTCGGGAACTGTATTAGAAAAAGCTATAAATAGTCCATTAGTCTCTTTTTCATTACTTTCTCATGTAAAGTTCATGGCACTGGCCGCAACTGTTTCTGAAATTTTCGGGAACTCGTCAAGGAATCTTGGTGCGCAGAAACTGTGCGCACCAGTCTCACCGTCAGTAAGACTTGCGTGCCTTATATATTTATTTTATGCTGAGGTATTTAACTCGCCTGTTTAGCTCAGCTGAATAAGGGAGCGTTCATAAACTACGTAGACCTATTTTTGTCATTTTTTACCCCCCCCCCTCCCCCCGTGTAGAAAAATTGTTGGGTTCTAGTGTGGTGCCAGAAAGACAGTCTATTCTCTAACTGGGCGCTGAAAAGACTATCTGACCATGGGCTAATCAGACCAGTGACGATCGAACCACGCCTTGGTCCAGACTGGACGAGCTAATCAGGGCTAATGAGCAGTGCTAATATTTAAAATTTTAGGTTCGATTTCAATATTTCAGTTTTAATTTTTTAAATTCATTCTTTAACAGGTCATTTACCTATTTAACAGGCATTTACAAACATGTTTACAATTATAATTTATAACACTTATACAGATTAAATATAGTAATTTTATTATTTTATATAACACTTACAATGAAAAATATCCGCTCGCATGTGGGATCGAACTCACGCCCCCACCCTTGACGACCCGACTCGAAGTATTTAAACCGCACGGCCACTGAAGTCTGGATGTGAACTCTCCTAATTTACTATATCAATGCCAGTATCATATATTCTGTTGCTTATAAGGACGAAGTGAAAACTATGACTAAAATTATTACACATAATAATCCCGAATTATTTTAATTATTACATATGAATATTTAAATAAATAATTCTTACTACAATTATAATCATTAAACAATTTTTTAAAGTATTACTTTCAGTTTTATCAAAAAAATTTTAAATAATTGAATTCTTATGACGAATTTCAATAGAATTCTTAAGTATAATTATACACTTTTCGAAGAATTCGATTAAAATTGTATTAAAAATAATTAAGAAATTCTGAGATTAACTAAGAAATTTTTAATAATAAAAAAATTCTGAGAATTTTATTATTTATAAAAATAATTGAATTATTGAGAAGAAACTTATAAAAAATTTGTAAATACTTATTGAATTTTTGTGAAAGGTTTTTTATTTATGAAAGTAATTATATTTTTGCTAACATTTTATTTTGCCAAGAATCTTGTTAAAAATTTGGAATATAATTGAATTTCAGAGAACGATTTTATTATTTATAAAGATAATTGAAATTTTGATGAGAATTTAAAAAAAATTTTGAACATAATTGAATTTCTGTGTAGAATTTTGTTACTTTTGAAAATAATTAAATTTCTACAATAATCTGTAACTTCTCCAACACTCAATTGTTTATAGTGTTTTTAACTTAAATTCTTCTACAGATAAATTATTTTTAATAATTAATCAAATACAATATGTTAAAAAATTTATCTAATTTCAGGAGAATTTGAATTATTAGGCATTTTTCAAAAATCTAAGATCTTTAGAATTTTTAATTAAACTCATTGAAAATTTTATTTATAATAATTCATATAAACCTACAATATTTATTTTTGAACGATTCTTTAGATACTAAATTATTCCATTGAATTTTGAAGTGACAATCCATGTATAAATTCAAAGAAGACCGACAAATCGGGCACTAAAGTCTTGATTGTACTTTGATTTGTACTTTAAAAATTTTGAATTCTAGTGATGCCAATGAAGTCCCATATAGCATACAGTTAGACAGTCTAAATTAGATCGTCCAGAAAAATCCCATATAGCATACAGTTAGACCGTCCAGATTAGACCGTCCAGATGTGTCTAGTTGGGGCAATCACTGGACTCCAGAATGCCCCGAAATTTTTCTACACGGGCATCTTCGAAATTGATTAAAACGATTAATTACTACAATTTACGATTCAACAAAGAAAAAAAACACATGCTTCCCTTCTTTTGTAACCCTTGCCAGTTTTAAAAAATTTTATATAGTTCACTAACTGTTATTATTAAATAATAAACACCTCCTAAAAAAGTGAAAAAATCACAAGAAAATCGTCGAAAACAGTTTTTACATTCTCATCACATGAGTAGGTATTACTTTTGGTCAAAAACTGACTTTTGCTAATTTTATGAAATCTTTACGTTTTGCGGTCCCCTGAACCCGAAAAACATGGTTTGGCGATGGTTTCTGTCTGTTCGTCTGTCTGTCTGTAGACCCAAAATTTTGTTCCCACGATAACTCTTGGGTCAAATTTTCTCAATAAAATCAAAGTTGGTCATGGGTCTTTCAATTTTTGTGAAACTTGATATAGAGGTAGTGTTTTATGACAAAAGATTTTAGGAAAAAAAGATTTTTAAAAATTTTCAAAATTGTAGATTTTACCGGGCATTAAACATTAAAGCACATTTTTTTTGAAAAACGAATAACTTTAAAACTAACCGAAATATCGAATTTTTTGTCTCGAGGTGCACAGATATCGATCTGGCGTAAACACGCCTGATATGTGCACCAAACGTTCTTAAGCGTAAATTTTCGCATTCAAATATTTTTTTGTTAATTTTTAGTAAAAAAGGAAGGTTTGAAAATCAAGTTTTGCAATTATAAATTTGTTTTTAAACAATTTTGAATCTCAAAATCTCAAAATTTTCTCAAGTGTACCAATGTCAAAATTGCAAGTTGTTAAATCGGGCTAATATTTTCACAGTATTCAGAACTATGAATGAGTACTTAAAACCACCAAGTAATTATGAAATTTTATAAAAAATTGTAGGAGGGATGGGGTTGAAGATTTTGGATAAGTATAAACCAAGAAGGCTAGAGACAGGAGGTGAAACTTCGGTAGTGGGGATGAGTCAAGATCCTTTCATTAACCAGGCGTTTTTCGTTTCGAAAAGTCGCCGGCGCGGTGCTTCTGCACATCACTCACACATTCAAATTCTTGTATACCATATGTTTTACATATGTGTATGATATGATTTTAATTTGAGGTTAACTTTAAAGTGCAATCAGTGCAATCGAGACACAATTGACAATGTGTGTCATAACGGATATATAGAAATAATGTGAGTGATTATTAAATTAAGTGTTATTCAAATAGTTCAAAATTCCGAAAACGTGCTGTGTGAAAAGTTGTAACAAGAAGCAAGATAAACCTACACAACACTATGACTATTACTTTTTGTTAACTTTTAATACACTTCATGCTACAGTTTACACATTTTTTTGTTTTTAAAACGTTTTTTTAATAACTATAAGATGTTTGAAAATATAAACACTTATATTTCATATTGTATTTGTATAGAATATATTTTCCCGTGTTTACGTGTGTTAGATTGCGCAGAAGTCCGTCTGGTCTACTGCGGCGAAAAATTTTTTTGAAAGTAAACGCCTGACCATACATCAGCTGAGCGACTCAGCATTGCCATACCCCCACTACCGAAGTTTTACCTCCTGTCTCTAGTCTTCTTGGTATAAACAGTGAGTTTTATAAAAAATCGTAGCTTTTGTAATAAAGAAAAAAAAATGGTGACCTATATGTTTTTGGTAGGTTTTTTTCTGCTCTTTCAAATG